CACCACTTCTCCTTCGTGACACAATGTTCCGACGTTTTGCCACCAAATCCTACGCACTTCTACAATTTTGCGGCAAAAATGGACCAGTCAAGACCAACTTTTGACCGACATACAAAGCAGATGGTCCTTAAGATAGACTGCCATGAGGTGCAGGAGTTTCTTCCGAAAAAAAAACTGCTGGCAGAGGGCTTTCAAAACTCTCCTCAGAAGAGGCATCCGTTGGCAGTGTATTTCTGTAATGGATGGACGGATTGTAAATTAGTGTCATCTGCGATCCAAACATTACTCGCTCATGCTCAACTTCAGATCGCAAACTACAGACATCCTCGCCTTGGTGTGGCGAAGTTTACTGTTATAATGGATTGCGCTCAAAAGTAGCAGGCGTGGCCAACAAGTGGGCAACTTGGAGTCTAGTAGCTATTTACCCAAAAACTCAGTATAACAGCAGTCATTAGGCAAGAAATAGGTAGAAAACCAGTTGGCTTGCCTGATCAGGCCTGATCTAAATGTAACAAATGGTCTGAACCGGAAATCACGATGCGCACCTAAGTCAAATAAGTTTACCACGAAAACAAGTAACAAGGAGCCCACAGAGTGGTATCGAGATTCCTAGGGAGTTTGACGCTTGCAACACCAGTACCGTTGAGGAGTCGCGCAAGCGGCGAAAAACAAGTTCATTAAACAGAGTGAATCGCGCACACAATTACACGTCAATTCGTACAAAAGTTGAGTGATCTGCGTTCCGCGTGACAGCAACACAGCAACACAATTCACGGATGACAGGCGAACCACAGAGGCAGCCGTGTGTTAGTTGCAAGATGCAAAGACAGGTAGAACTCTGAATCCTAAACATGCAGGAAATCCTACATTGGTTTGCGCACAAGGGCGCTTTGTGATAGTATCACAGCGGACTTTCAAAAAGACTACCAACCCGAAGCGATCAATAATTACCATCAGATCAACCATATTTTGCCTTGATTAGACCAAGCCATAAAATGCAAATAATTTTTGTCTCCTGGAGGGAGTGCACATGCTGATCATTGCTGTCCCAATCAAGAGAACGGCTGTGTTTCCGTTAAGACTGTGCTCTTATGCCTCAAGCAATCACTTGAATAAACACTCCAAAGTTTTCAGCACGCTTTTCGAGAAATACACTCATTTGCAAATCAATTTATTTTTCACGGGAGACTCAATTGAATCCCTCGTTTATGATGTCCTCCAGCTGAATGTGCTGCACACAGGCCGCCTCATGATTCAGTTGGCACGATATTCGAGATATCGCAGTATATTTTCATAAAGGAAACTACTCACAAGGTTGCTGTCGAAGAGTTTTCAGCAACCTTGTGAGTACTTTCAGCACGCTGTTTTCTTGTGTACAATATCCATGGAAGGTCTATTAAACTCGACATTTTGCTGGTTTCACTGACCCATAACACCAGGCAATTTTATCATAGGAATTAATCAGCTCTACTTGTAACCTATTAACTCGGATGACGCTTGAGTCGATATACTCCCGCTGTGCACGGGCGGTGGGGCACCCAAGGCGATTGGTCAGTCAACATTAAATATTAATTTGAGGAAGCATTTTCAAGTTTTGTATCACGACTGTTCAGGATTAAGGTACTTCAGGTTGCTTTAGTTTCTTGCTTTGGAGGCTATGATGAGTACTCTGAATGCAACAACCTCATGTACCAGAGCCAATAACAGCATGAGTGACACATCGATCAGTGTCACCATTGACTGGTGTCCTCTGCCCGAGAGAAAGAAGCGACCACTGCGACCACGTCCGTCCCAAAGTACGTTATCCAGTCCAAGAATGACCATCTTTGGGTGTTTTCTACTCGACAGCTGTTCGGGAAATGACTTCGTGAGACAGGCAGCTCAGCGGTATATGAAGTGTGGCCTAATCAGCATAAGTAAGGGTGTGGGACTAGCTTAAATATCGTAGACCGGCTTTTCCCAAAAATTCTCTGATACCCCAAAGTATCGCCGGCACATTGGTCCCACCAGACCGGGAGAAAGCTTCGGCAGTAACGGCCCGTACAACAGTACAATATTAATGTGCCGGAGCTATTCCCAATTTCGACGGACAAGCTGACGTCACGGCGGTGCCACAAAACCCAGGGGATTGTGAAAGTCATTGACCCTTCCGATTCAAAATTGCCCTCGCCCTTTGCCAGTTCAACAGACCTGATGTAACCACTTAGGTAGCCCAATGTCTGCTGCACAGCTTCGTTACTTTGCAAAGGCGGGCTACTTTCACCCACTCCTGCAGTATCACTCCACACTATGCATGCGAAGCGCACATGTAGCCGGGTGAGTCGGAGTGCGAGGCAAGATTTCATGAGCGCGAATGACAATAACCATAATCATTCGGCTGTAACACCAATTCGGTGCCTAGCTGCCGTGCCACGCGAAGGAAGCCCGATGGCTTGGATATTGTTATGTTGCTCAAGCCTAGACAGGAGATGCAGAGGTCAGGTTCGAACCACGAACTTTCCGGTCAGTAATTTGGCGCTCTAACCGCTGAGCAATCTTGCCCATGAGCGCGAATCCACAGCAGTCGAAAAAAAACATACAAGTCTTCGTCTGGTTGCCTATGATGTAGGATATATGCAATGAAAGCCCTGTAAGACAGCAATCGCTCATTACATCTGTAGAAAAATTGGTATAAGTATTCCTTGCTGGTTTCAAATGGTGTAAAATGTGTTAGCTATTACCAAATATTTAACGGAAATCGTTGAAGAAATCGGATGCCAATTTGATCATATTATACTGATTAAATTAGCACCCATGCATTGTCTTTTTCCTGACGTAATATGTGATGGCTCAAGTGGTTGGAGCGCGAATTTACTGACCGGAAGGTCTGTGGCTCAAACCCGAACTCTGCCTCTCGACTTCCCCTGTCTAGGCTTGGGTAATCTGGCGGTATCCCAGCCCTCGTGCATCCTTCGGGTGGCAGTTAGGTACCGAAAGGGTGCTACAGCTGAACGATTTTTCACGTCATTCAAAACATTAGAGCTTATAGATTCTACACCTTCCGGAAAATAAGGTTTTCTGGACCTGCCACCTCTAAGTGGTGGTTCGGTGTGAGCGTTGCTAGGATCCCATGGGCTACTCTGCCTAAAAATTTGTATCACAAGGTTCAAGGATGCCAAGAATTTAGAACGGTCACACAGAGAGCAGTGAACCCCATACTCAAGGTGGTGGTCCACTACGGGTACAGCCACAATGTCTTGTGAGATAGAAGGAAGGCAGACAGCTGTTTCCCCCAGGCGACCAGCATCTCTATACTTCTGGGATCAATGATGTCTTCCGCCGAGAAAAGACGGTATGCATGCATGATAGTATGTAGTTGTGGTGCACTGAAGATGATACATAAGCCTCCATTTGAGCTACATCAAGTTCGACAGTGTGCCGCCCTCACATCATTCCTCTTCAAACTTACCATTAATAACCTCCTTAGAACTCTTCTCCTAACTCAAATGTTGCAAGCCATGCTCCCTGGGTGTTCACTTGCGAACACTGGATATGCAGACGATACTGCTCTCCTTTGTTCAGATTATTCAGAGGTGCGAGCCATTTTGATGTGCTTCAATCCTGCAGAGTGTAAAGTGCTATCACAGGACTGTATGGAATAGATTCAACCACTGTAATTGCTAACGCAACAATCGGTGTAGTAGATAAATTTATTTGCCTTGACAGCTGTGTTGATCCCAGCAGACTTGTCACAGACGAGATCGTTCCTCGAATTGGGCGTCCCAGGACAGTCTCACCGCTGACCTTTGACACCCATGGAACCGGCGTGATGCTAGCTTATCCGCGACAGTTAAATTTAATTCTTTATAGGTCGAAAACGTAACCTTCACAGAGGATATACGAGTTCTCACGTTTGACGATTGGTGTATCCGAAAAATTGACCGGGTGTGGTAGGGACGTCAGAAAAGGAAGCCGAAGCACCAAATCCTTTTTTGAACGATAGGTAAGCTAAGCACGCTTCATGGTTTACCCTAGCTAGAACATTTTGTGGAGTGACTACATCATGGATGCCTTTTCAATTAGCCGTGTACCAATAAAAGGTGAACAGTCGACTAATTGGCGATGAAGTATGGTGGCCCTAGCTAGTAAAGTGAGGCGGGTACCCTGGCATCTCATTTTTCAGTGACCGAATTGCAGCTGTAGGGATCAGCGTATCCTTGGTACATGTTTTATAGCGGATAAACTGAGATGGAAATGAAGTTTTCCCATAGGTCTCTGTGTACATTGACTACCGATTACTATCTGATTACACAATGATGCACGGTTACTGACTACTGACTTATGGTTACCAATCCAAGGTTGCGCACGAGTTCAGAGGTGAAGTTCGGACTGAAAACGCTAGTGGCCCTTTGACCGAGATTGATCACTGCAATCCCACTTTGGCCGGCCTGAAAGCATAAGTCCCCATACTGTGTAAAAGTCGTATGGCATCTACGCCCGCAAAGCGAACTTTAAATAGTAAGCTTGGAAGTACGCCAAGTTTCGTCCGTGAAAACATACATTCCCATCCATTTATATTACCGCTTTTCATCCAGGCCTGTTGACTGTGACTTTAAACGAGGAAAATGCCAAGTGAAACCATTCAAGTCACCTACACTACTAAGGCGCGCGATGCTGAGTGAAGCATGCAAATGATGCATCATGATTGATCTGGTTGATTTGCATAATAAAAAAACCGATCACAACAAATGGGGCACTGTCAGTGACCTAACACAAGACACTCCTATAATCCCACTGAGTGTCGAAAACTACTTTGGGGAACCTTGTAGATAGGTTTTCTCGCAGCCGAGGTCGGTGGCCAACAGTGAATTAGCAGCCAACCGCACAAGAGTAACGACCGACATACAAACACACTACTGATGATACAATCTCCTGTTTTATCGTACGGATCAAGTAAACCGAAACAGATCCCCTAAGCAATTATGCTTGGGATCATGCGGATAAAATAAAACTTGGCTTACCATCAAATCTCCGGCGCTTATCAAGTCGTTCAGTCAATGCATTCAGGCTTTGGCGCTTACAGGAATTACCATCACGAGACCAGCATACTGGGATAAAAGTGTTGTCCATTGGAACGTCCGTGATGTAATGACCATTCGAAGTGTGGATAAATTCGTTTATCAGTGCTGCAACCTCGAAATGACCGGCGAACGCCGCAAGTTCAGTTGGAGTTCTATTCGAGAAATTGCGCACACTAAAGAGATAAATCTGAACTAATGAGTGGTTACTTCGGAAGTGCGCCCGCTTGTAAGAGCAAACGTGCAGTTTCTAGGTGACCGGAACGTGCAGCTTTATGCAGAGGAGTTTCACCTTGGGCATCCTTCAAAATAAACGAACATTAGGAGAAACTTACTTGGGTGTTGATTTTACACATCGGGCCGAGCAAAAGCCGCACGCAATCGAGAAATCCGCGCTCACAAGCGATGTGAAGAGGAAGTAGCATGGATCTGAAAGATGGTGTGCTGGTAGCACCACGTCTATTTAATAAACCTAAACAGTCCACCTATATGGCGACGATAAACGCGGATGCACGACATACTCGTCCAAAGTTTGCAGCCCAGTGGGCAGGAGTCCAACAATGAAGGTGGTCCATTGAAAAAAGTTCATCATCCCCGTTATCCAACAGCTGTTTCATACTCTTAATATCTCCTATCATGCAAAAGTAGTGGATGGGGGAAGCTCGCCGAAGCAATTCATGGGGCATCGTCACAGCCTGAATTTAGTAATTGAAGAGGCGGAAACAACTCCTCAAGTGAAATGGCTCACGATAACGGGCTAAAAATGAAGCAGACAGTTAGATTGGATAAGATGAGGCGTAACAAGCATAGCTGGAAGTTTCCCCAAGCCAACCACATGATAATAGGTAAAGTGGAAAGTACAATTCCATCACCGGCTTGACCGGGGTGTACATCTACCCTTTTTAACAAGTTTTTGCAACAGGCCCTCGAAAAAGACAGCCTATGTGCTTATTTCACACGCAAATAAAGATTCTACAATCAGATCGTCACTACTCTCCAGTTTTCCTACCAGTTTAGATCACTGAGTGTGGAAACCATGTACGCATTTGCGATGGTTGGGGTCGTCGTAGTTTGTGACAGCGGATAGAGTGTGACGAATGGGGATAATGGGTGTAGAAAACCAAAAATAAAGTAAAATAAAATGAATAGTGGACTGACGACTGGGAATAAGAGACTAAATACAGCAGCATCACTGGTCGCGCAATTTAGATGCGATTGATACTAGGCTGATATCACGGTGGTTTTAACATGAAGTTCTTGCTCCCTTTTCGAAACTGGGATGACAGTCGAAGAGCTCCATTCGGTTGGTATTCTGTCTTCGCTCCAAATCTTTTGCAGTATGGTTGTCATACTTCACCACGACCTCGTCACCTTCCTTAAAGAGCGCGAGACCATCACGAAGAGACTGGACTTTACCGTGGTGTGGCGGTTTGCGTACCTCGTAGACCCACTGAGCTATACTGGGGGGTGTCCGCGCGACACTCACAGAGTCTCTCATACCAGGTTGGTCAATGGTTAGAGGTCTGACGAACACATTTTCCTGGTCCTCCAGGTTGAGGGTTGGAACGTGTATGGTGACTTGTTCCGTGGAAAAGGTAATGCATTTGCACTTCCCCGCCAAACACCGCTGCCTTGCGGTTAGGCTTTTGAGCCAAAGGCTTTGGTTGAGGACCCTAATCGTCCTTCTGTCTAGGCGTGGGCGCCCTGGCAGTATCCCAGCCC